TTTTTTCCCGCAAATGCTATTCGTTTTGAATTGTTTACTAAGTATAGCCTGGTTTGTAGATGCAGTTAAAGAATATACATGAAAAGGTACGATTTTTTTAAATTCTAAATAAATGTAAATATTCAAAAACGGTAACCCTAATATTTTGTAATATTTTGTAATAATAATACCGGTAGTGCAGATAGTAAGTACTTACTTCTGCAACTTCCGGTAGTGCAGAGAGTAAGTAGCTTCTTTACCAACTACCGGTAGTGCAGAGAGAGTCGATGGTGACTACCGCCTAGGACATCGCCATGTAAAAGTAATCGATGAAATACACTGAAAGTAGTCGGTCGGTAATTGACGGTGTTTATCAGGCAGTTACCGATTCATCAGTCCTGTAGCCGCTCCCCCGTACTGCAGGGTTGATTCAAATGGTTGCTACCAAGATGGTCCAGGTTAAATTACCATCATACGGAACAAAATATTACATTTTTTTCGCTCTTAGTTACGAAAAAGCATATGTGCACTTCACAACGAAATATTTTATAACGTACATATTTACTCAAATTTAAAACGAGCTGGCACGTTTTTTTTAATTCTAAAATTTTTTTTCCCTCAGTGTGGTCTTTCAATACGGTAGTAAGACTCGTTGTACATATGCGGCACTGGCCTGGTAGGCATCACAGGAGATGTGCTCACTTGTCCCACGGACGCCCTTGGTATCATTACAGGCATTCCTCCCTTTCCTATTATGTTTGAAAAAGGGACTGCTGAAGTTATGCTTCTGCGAAGTGATAACAACTATGATTGGGTCCCTAGTATGGTATACGGACGGATCGAAGGTGGACGACGAGAGTACTGGGGCAAGCGTATTTGGACCAAGATTCCAGAAAAATCTGCCAATTTGCACATACCTAACTATATTCCAGCCGGAAGTATTCGCAATCGAAGTCTGTGTAGAAGGACAAATGGAGCCAAAATAAATATTATGACGGATAGTTAGACAGGTTAAACGCTTTGGACTCTTTTAAAACGGCATTAGGATTGTGGACAAGTGTAAAACTCCTCTCAATCACTTAAAAGCCCACAATAGCGGAACGCTGGAAGGCAACGAAAGGGCGGACTGTGTCGCAAAGCTTGGAGACCAAATGCGCTTGCATGACCCCTAGCATTTTGTGAGTTGGCGGAGGAAGCCCCAGAGCATTCATATGTGACTGCCCACGTATCATAAATAGCAGACTAATACACCTTGGGGAACGATTGTCTTCTTCAATGGCAGCTGCATTTCAAAGAAAAATATCTGGTTTATAAACCTGCCTTTACATCCATCAATAATCACTTGATATCCCTTTAGATACGCCGTGGATAAAACTTTTTATAGCGTATACGGAGTTCAGAGAATTGCCGAAGGTAATTGGTAAAATTCTGAATATACCAGTAAGCAACGAGTTTTTTTAAAAAGTTTTCGATGGCAAACAGTTGGACCCATCCAAGAAACAGAATGAGGGTAAAAGTGATATTGTCAAAATTGGGCAAGCGTACTCACAGTGCTAACAAAGTGACACATTACAACAAGCCAGAGATATTTTATGTGCAAAGAAACCTACCAAAATTTTAAACGTCCTACCATCCTATCAACGGGAAAAAACCCAGCAATTTTAGTAGGAAAAGCTCAAAACGGCAACCCTGGTTGCTATGACTTATGTTACTGTGGCTTGTTGCGTGGCTGGCTGTTCTAACTTGTGTTGCTGTGGTTCAGAGGTGTTAAAGAGTGCAATAATTTTTAACTAAATTATTAATTTGATTGAAGTTCCGAGTGATTGCAATCATTTTTTGTTAGTCCTGACTAAAACTAAAAAAAATTAGTCTTTATTCTTTTTTTTGATTTATGATTTATAAATCACTTGTTTATTCTCAATAAAAATATTAAAAATAAAAATGTTAATAACGCTGGATTTCCACTAGGCATTAAATGGCAAAAACGACAAATTACATAGTTGGGCTTTTAAAAATACTAGTATTATTCGTTAAAAAAATTGTCATTAAGTTCATTTCCACTTGGCATTTTTTTTAATGGCATACATTTTTTGTCATTTCAATGCCTAGTGGAAATTCGGCATAAGCCACAATAATATTGACAAATACATAGGTTAGGAAGAGCCTGCCTGAAACTATACAATAAAGCAAATAAGCAAATGGATGTATAGAATTGACAACAACAACCACGCTGTCAAGTTTAAACAGCGGCAAATCAGCTCACTTGATAGTAGTTGGTTAAATAAGGAAAATGAATCAGCAACAAGAGTTTACGGGGTGTACATAGCTCAGTGGTTAACGCTTCTGACTTTGAACATCGATTACGCAGGTTCGATCCCAGCTAAATTCTAGCAAAAATAATGTAAATGTAAACAAAACTCTAGGGAACGTTCTTAAGAAGAATATAATGGGATCCTAATGTTAAGAATGAGAGGGACGTCCGCGTGTTGAGATGAAAAATCGTTTCAGTGAAAACCCTGACTTTTAATTCTAAGCCAGAAAAAGTCTTGATCATTTCAACTTCAAGATCGTTTATTGTTACGGTGAACTGTCCATTTTTGGAAAATTTTTTCACTTTCTGTGCAAGAAAAGTTCGTGTCGTAAGTCTTTCGTTGAGAATGTCCAAATTACATTTGGGCTGAGGAGGAGTTTGTTAGATTTTATATTGATTTACATCCCAACTGTAGCAAAATTATTTACGCATACATAAGTAGTAAATGATATTTTGTATGTATTGAATTGATTTATGTTAAAATTTTTTAATTTTCAATAAAATATTGCAGCGGAAATGACTAGTTTGCATTTAAACCGTTCATCATTTACAAAAAGAAAATACTTAATCATATGAAAAATGTCTTCCATAATAAATGATTTTTCCTTCAGCGATTCCGTGGTGGATCCAAATTTAACCTTATGTAAAAGCGGAAGGCGTAAGCGTAATATTTTAAGTGAAAACCATTCTAAATACTAGCATGAAGGCGAGATTCCCACTTTGTTATTTTTTCATTTACATAGTATGTACAGATTATGTAAATATAATAAATACAAATTTATTTCATTGGAAGTTACTGGAATTAATTTTCTAAATATTTTATATTCTACTGGAGTTTTAATTTAGCTATTTGTGTACTCATTTATTTTCTAAACAAATTAGTATTATAATTGAATGAAGAAGTCATGGCGCAATAATCAGGTGAAGTAATAAAACAGCTTTCTCGCTGCCTTATAGTCAAATTTTAAAGGCAATTTTCCAAATAAGGCAGTGTTAAAATCGTTCTTCTCGCTCTAATTACTATACCTGGTATAATTCCGCCATGTGAAGAAGTGAAAGCAAAGATTGCTTTAGATTTTCATTATTCACCTCAGACTGCAAAAATGACTAATTAGTCATGAATAACAGAAAAGACTAATGACTTCAACTTTGCAGTCTTTAGTCAAACATGTGATTGATTTATTGGCTGCAGTTAAGAAATGTTAGTGAATGTGACTGCAACATTTAAAGTCACGAAAACTGCATTCTTTAAAACCTCTGCTGTGGTTTATTGGGTGATGTCGTATTGCTGGTTCATGGTGCTATGTTATGGTTGCTTATGTGGGCTAAATTTCTTGTTGAACATTCCGTCCTCACACTTTATAAAATCTATTTATCTTTAAGCTTACATTTCTGTGTTTTCCAAGCTGGCTCACTAATTTAATAAGATAATATATTTTCTTTATAATTAAACCAGTACATATAGCATTCTCAAAAATTCAACTGCTGCCCTGTGTTAGCTGTTCAAACTTGTCAAAAATTGATTGCAAATTTTCGGTTAGTAATAAGCGAGTGAACAAAAGATATATAACAGTAAGAATGGCCACACCTCCAGCCATTGTGTGACCCACCTTTAACTTACCGCTGACTTTTTTTCAGAGCAAATAAAAAGTTTACGTAATGATGGATCCGGCTTAAGTTAAAGGAAGAAACATGACCCTCTAAAATTTGTTTAATAAAAGAATTTTTTTATTATTTTATTTGAATCAAATTTCTCGCGAAATTTATTAAATTTTCTTTTTCATAATGTTATAATACAGTGGAAATCAATACAACTACGGACTGCTTAAGTTTAATTAAATTTTTTTTTTTTAATTATATATTTCATTAGTCAGTGAACTACTTGCGGATCAAAGGATTTCTAACTTAATATTTCATTGTCTATTTTAAAATTACATATCTTTTTACTGTATACAAATTATTTTCAGCCAATAACATAAATTAGAAAACAAATGACAAATTTGAAAATATAAATGCACTAACGAAGATCTTAATATGCATTCATATGTACATATGTATGCGGGAAGTTTATCATTTTGTGTTTCAAGTGTTCTGCAGTAGGTCTTTTATTTAGGCTTAGATATATTTTAAGCCAAGTTACCGCAATACACAGCATCGCTCTTTCCAACTGTATTTCGAAATTGAACACCGGATGCAAAGTATAATAATGATCCATTTTACTACAAGGAATATGAAATCGTAATATGACTTCTCAATGTGAATTATGTATGTAGATTTGTTAAAACAAATTTTATTGGAAGTCATAGTCGCTTAGGAAAGCTCTCGAAATTTTAAAAATTTTCAAAATACGAAAAGTTAAACTTCGAAAACTTCTTTTGCATTTATATTTTATAAACATAAAATAATTTATAAAACAAAAATACATAAACCTGCAAAAAATTTCTCTTGCAAGCGGAAATTAATAAAAATTTACATCAAAGTGAAAATTATTACAATTTCAGTTAGTTCGAATAGGTCTACCCTACCATAATTTTCTTATCCTAAATACGCCTGTACGTAGGGCAGGGCTGTATATTTTACATTGAGTAAAGTATACGTCCATGATTTCTTAAGGAAAAATTTCCGTTCCATAACGGATGTGCTTAAGTGAATAATGTCCTGATTTGTGTACAAGTAATACATATAAAACTACGTTAGTTTAAAAACTACAATTTTTCTACATAAATACATATCACAGTTCTTTTTCAGCCATATTTTTTAAAAACAAAAAACGCATAATTTCAATATTAGAAATTCAACATTATTTTGTTTTCAAATGAAATTTCGAACTGTCTCAGTTTTATTGGAAAATTATATAGGTTAACATGTATGTGTATGTATGTATGCTTGAATACACTTACTTACGGTTTACTAAAAAATAAAAATGTAACATTTTTAAACCCGCTTAGATTGAATACTGAAAAATTCAGTCACTATTTTGGATAGAGAATGAGATTTGATTACTGCTATCAGCAACAAGTTGCTGTTATTAATTTGTTTAGTAACATTTGAAATTCCATTTCAATACAAAAAAGTTGATTTCATTGTACACTCGCTTTAAAAACAAAACCTTTACAATGTTTTTATACTTATACTTAATTACATTTGTGATACAATTAGAAGTACAATATTTGTATGTAAATATGTTTTTCCACAAGTGGATTATATACATAGATACAAATGTATTTAAATATATTTTTGATCTATGTTCAAAATTTTATGCAATACGAATTAATTCAGCAAACAAACTTCTTTTCAGGCAATTTCAATTTAGATACATATGTATGTACATATATGTATGTCTACATACATATGTGTATGTACATTAAATGACGACGAGCAGTATGTGCGCAATTTTTTTGAATAACAAACACAAAAAGCGCTTTACTGGTAATTACGTTACTACTTGTTGTTAAACCTATAAATTTAAATTTTAAAATATATAAAAATTTGTTAACACCCCTTCATTCTTCCTTCTCTGTTCACTACTCTCTCTTTCTAGTATCTTCTTCTTCATTACCAATCCGTTTCGACAGATGGTCACAAACTGGATGTGGCCATGAAGCCCTGCCGACGCTTTAGCACACGTGTTTTATGCAGTTCACCCTTGTGGCAAGGTATTACGGTACCCTGATTGATGGCCAAATTCCGATTGCTGCCATAGCCGCTACTACCGATCAGTGTGCCCAACATTTTGCTCACCGAAAATTTGCGTACTTGTTTTTGTGGGCGAGCACGCGAGTCGATGATCAATTTTTCAAAGGCCTTTGATAAAATAGGGGTAAATTCAGCCACGGAAACTTCACAGAAACCAATAGAATGTGCAGCAGCCAGCGCAGCACCTTCTTTTTCGGGTATCTGTAAATAAAATAAAAAATAAAGAACTTGTTAAAAAATATAGATAGACATCTGGAAATTCAAAATATCTGTGTACTTTTAAAAATGCATTTATTCAATTTTTTTATTTTTTTGGTAGACCAAGTTCGTTGGTCTGACATACTTTTCACAAATAAATACATATTGTACATTTTGCTTTTGGGCGTCCCTCAAATTGGCAGCCATTTGTTATATTAACATATACTACCTGTAAAGTTCAACGCAAACACCCAAATGACCAAGACACAAATAAGCAGTGTGATTTATATTTATGCATATTTGCCAAGAAAAGAAGCTGACTAAAC